TACTCAAGAGAATGACACATGGCTTGATTTTACACCAACTCTATGATAAAAATCATGTCTTCAGCTGTTTCCCCACATTTTTTCAAATAATATGTTTTTGAATGTGTTTTAGAATCGACTGTGACAAAGGATATAATGAAGAAAATACAATATTAGGTTTGTACTGTAGTAGTAGATAAGCATTTATCAATTAGTGGCATAACCAGGATTTATCGTGATGCTAGCTATGTGGCTATTTCCTATGGCTAGCTACCCAATCCACTCCCTGACTCTGCCCTTCCGAATTACTAGTATCCAAAAAAAAAAAGAATTTAGTATTGGCATTCCCCATCCACCTCAAACCCTAAATCTTTAATATACTCTACCCTTATGTTGTAGAAAGCTAAAGATGGCCGATATATTTATTAAATTTTTCTTTTCTATTTCTAGTGACAAGAATCCAGTTTCTGGCTGTCGAGATAGCACGTAATCGTCGTCATCTCAACAATTTGCACATACCAAAGCAATCCCCAACAGAAGATGAAAATCAGGAAAGATAGCAGGAAAGATAGTTTTTTATTTTTGTGTTTGGGTCTTTAGTATTCCTTATTATTCATCACATCAACAATTGGTTCATTAGGTCACAAATTCTTTCTTCAAGGACAAGTAAAGGTACTGTAGATTGTTAGGAGCTATAGTCAAATTTTCATCCTTGATAAAATTTTATGCTCTACAGCTGAGTGAAAGTGGTTTAGTTATGTTGCTAGAAAGAGTCAATATCCCTGATCAAATATAGAGAGATTATATCTCTTTAAGTTGGGAGAAATAGTGAAAGAGCCATTAGTCATTTTACTGTAATTATCCTTGATCAGGTGATAAATTCTCTCTTCAAATAGGAAGATATCGTAAAAGAAACCTAGGCTATGTTTTTAGTTTTGTTTATGATTTTGATATTTTTTGTTTAAGTTGAAACAGGAAGAGTTCTTTGAAAATTCCAGAATTGTACAGATATTATCCTGATATTATTAAAACCAGTAACGATAATTTAATGGCAATTAATATWTTTTTTTACATCATTTGAGGTCTCGTTAAACCAATAAACCAACCAAGGGCTTTTTCTATCAGCCTCCGGGTTTCTTTTCGCTTCTTTTTTATGTTATTTCTGGTTGGGTTATGTACAAATCTCACAAAAATTCACCAATATTATTCATAGTTCATTAAATTTTTTGTTTTAATCCTATCCTAAATGTTTTCTTTTTTGCAACGTGTTTGCTTTTAATACATTTTTCGAAAGTGAAATTTGATACGAAAAAAGATGTATTTTTCTTTCCATATATTCAAAAATACTTATTACGCGAGTATAGAAAACGTTTTCCTTCTATTTATCAAAGTATTTGGCAGTGTAAACAAAAAGAACAGGACTGGAATCGAAACATCGCAGATCAACAAAAAAATTTTTAAATCATAAATAGTAAATTACACATTTCCTTTATCTTTAAAACTGGATTTAAATGTCAATTGGTCCAGCATTTTCTTTGTCAACTTCTATTTGTATAGAATTTCAAAGTAATCCCTATTTCTAGAGAAAAAAACCCTCTGTGAAACGTCACATGAAACTAGTTTCGATAGTTGAATGGTTTCTCTTCCCGTTTGTACTAACGGAAATAATCTTGGAATTTAACTTCAAATCCCATATTCCCAGAGATAACAACATTGAAAGCTTGAGTTCTAACAAGGTAAGTGCACTGAAGATAGTAGAGAATCGTTTCCAAATGTAGCAGCTTCATTTTTGGGTAAGTATATTTCCGAGAGTCGGAAGTAAACTCGGAATTAAGATGAAAATAGTTTCGACCCAATTTTTCTGTCTTCAACATCTGAGACTCCTTTAAGGAGGAAACGGAGATAATATATCTAGCAATCGAGTATAAATTTCGCTTTATAATGCGCTGCAAACCATCAACCATTGCTGAAAAAAAACAATTTAACTTGAAGTGATAAGGAAACGGTTATAGTTGAAACGTATTGCCGTTACTGAGGCGCAGCAGAGAAAAATCGATTTTTCGAAAGATTTTTTCCCAATTYTTATATTTTAATTTTTGATTTTCAAACCTGCGAAACGGGCAAAAAAATACGAAGCAACAAAAATGTTCGCAAGTGAGTAAACCAAGAAGTCCTCGACTTTACTGTACATTTCAGTAAGGTTTGGATATTCAAAGCCTCCTCTGTTAGGGTAAAAGCGCATTTTAGCGACAAACAATCGTTCCTTTTCATTATCAGGACAATTGCCTATCATTGTTTGGATATTCAAAGCCTCCTCTGTTAAGGAAAAGCGTATTTTAGCGACAAACAATTGTTCCTTTTCATTATCAGGACAATTGCCTATCATTGTTTGGATATTCAAAGCCTCCTCTGTTAGGTAAAAGCGTATTTTAGCGACAAACAATGGTTCCTTTTCATTATCAGGACAATTGYCTATCATTGTTTGGATATTCAAAGCCTCCTCTGTTAGGAAAAAGCGTATTTTAGCGACAAACAATTGTTCCTTTTTTTATTATTTAATTCTACGTTGTCTCACTCTTCAAGAGGGGACAATGAACGCCGTTTCGGTTGCAAATAGAAGCTGAAAATAACCTCGAGAAACTTAGTGCAATGATTCATTCGTATGCATCATTTCCTTCTGATACGTACTCATTTCATAAGCGTCTAAAAACATTTTGACTGGAATCTTGACTGAAAGACAAGGCTTCAACTTTRAATAAGTACTTCGAAACAAGTTTTGATAAACAAATAATTCAATAAATAACTGTTTAATTCGAGACTTTGAACAAGAAATGAAAACTCGACGTCGTTTCATGCTTCATTTCCACTTCTCATGTCTCACGACCTTGCAATACTTCTTTGCGTAATTAACTTATTTTCTTCCCGTGTACGGTGTGAGTGGAGCCACGAAGCTCCTTCATACCTCTTTTACTTATTTTTTTCCGTATACGGTATGAGTGGAGATGAAACGAAACTCCTTCGTACTTCTTTTCTATCGTAATCTACCCAAAATACCCCCTCGCAAGTGGCGTAAAGAGGTAACGAATGCTTGCAATCTCGAAAAGGTTTGTGAGTTAATTTGAGGAAAAAATATTCATAAAAACCATCAACTTTTTTTTAGATCAGAAATATGGAGGACGATATCGTCGGTATGGAAAATGAGGGCTTCGAACCCAATGCTTGTAAGTCTGTTTATTAGTATATTATTATATTCTACTTTTTCATCATTCATTAATCATCGGTTGTTCTTCTGTAATTAACACCACGTATTGCGCATGCTCGGACAATTACGAAACGGATATTTTCTTTTGATCATTATCAGTTCTCGGAAAAGTTCCGGAAAAAATGACAAAAATTTTGATGCACATTACATTTATCCAATCTTTTTCATGGTGATGTTCAATTTAGAAGGCAAAACCCGCTTGGGTGTATTTTTTCCCCATTTCAAACCACGTGTCATTCCTTAGAGTATCATTTCTTTGTTTAACGATCGTGCATGAGAAGACACATGAATATGGTCACAAAGAATTTTATTCTTATTCTCAAGGGAAGGACACGTGGTCGGAAATGGGTAAAACATTACGCCCAAGTGGATTTGAAGCTTATCACTYACAGAACACTTTAGGCTGCGTTCATAATGTATGACAGAGGGGGGATGGGGGGCAGGTGAAATTGAGGGGGATCGGGAAAATTTTGGTAGGAAAAAGGGGGGATGGGCAAATTTTTATCAGAAAAATGGGGGGATGCACAATTTTTGGAAGAAGCTACAAGCCTTGCTTAGGGGGGATCGTATTTTTTGCATGACTTTAAGGAGGGGGGGGGGGTGTTAAGAATTGTTCTGTACATTTCAAATTTTCACCTGCCCCCCCTCTGCCATACATTATGAACGCAGTCTTATTCAATCTCTTTTTTYTTCTTCTTTTTTTCAAGTTTTGATTTCGCTCGTAAATGCTACGCCTGACCAAGATGAGGATCCTCTTATGAAGTTTGTTCTCCAAAAAGATGACCAAAAGCTACCAAGTCAACCAAGAAAATCAGACAATCCAGCCATGGATACCTTTTCCATAACAACTTCATCGCAAACAAAGCCTTTTAACACAGGTCAATCCCGTACTGATGATGCTGCAGCTCCTTCAAAGAAAAGAGCGCGAGAACCCGACAACACGCGAACCATGGCAGCGCCGGAGCCTTTGAATGCGTTGCTTGTGACTGCCAGCGTCAATGCTCCAGGAGAATACGCAGAGGCAAAAAAAYCCAAGAGTGTGAGCGAAAAACACATGGAATCGAATTCAAACGTTAGCTTACCTCTCTCGAATAATTTCCAACACTGCCATCAAAATGTTTCAAGAGGAAAAAATCAAAAAATACTTGGTGTTGACCTTCAGGCTAATGGTCCTTCATCTTTGGCCCATTCTTTGCCTCTTGTTGACGATTTTAGCCAATTTCCAGCGTCTCAGAGTTCTGCAGTTCCTCCTTTGGTAGGATTTAGAGTTGGCGGAAGTGAATTTGGCTGCAACGAAGAATTAAGTCCATTTGAGCAAGTACCATCTGTGAACCCACCATCAGTTGCTTCAGTTGTGCTTAGCAGCGGAGGAATCTCTATGTCACCGTTTTCAGCATCAACTTTTAGTGAAGATGACACTTTGAGTGCAGCAACCCCAGGCTCTTCACAAAATGTCCAGGAGAGTCAGTCCCATTTTCATTGTACAATCCCTAATTCACAAGGGAATATTGGAAACTCTTCAATGCCGCTGGAATTCAATCAACTTGAGGGAATTGGACAGACRAATGGCTCGTTATTGGGCGTCAAAGAGCTCGATCCAACTTTCTCACAAAACAATGAAACGCTGACGAACATTTGCGCACAAGGCAATGTTCCAGTACTTAAAGATGTCAGAGAYATGGACACCTTTGTTCCAAGACCTAATACCTCTTCACAGATCATCTCTGGTTTAACTCCTTATRCATTTTGTAAGATTATGAATCCGAAGAAGGAATATGACAAGAATCAGAAGAAACTGCTTACGCCTCGGCGTTCAGAACAGAGGATACAAGGTGGAAAGGTAGGGTGCTCGGTTCATGATGATGATGATGGTTTCAGTTTAAAAGAATTGACAGCAGCAGCAATAGTAGCAATTGTTTTAGCAGCGGCGTCAAAGCAACAGCATCAACACCATATGCAACACCAACAGCTAGATAGATAGAACGCATGCAGTAAGGCCACGAAATAAATACAAAGTTGGTACTGACAAATAGTACTATTTAGTGACTAATAGTTGCTATCACTTAACCAGAACAGTCATTACACAAACGACACGAATGGTCTCTTGCGTATTTGTCTTTGTGCAATGAATGTACGTTCTGGTTGAGTGATAACAATTATTAGACACTAAATAGTACTGTTTGTCAGTATCAACTTCGTTTTTATTTAATGGTTTTACTGCATGGGCTCTATAATTAAGTGSCAATTGAATTTCGCGTTGTGCAATTTTGGTCTGAAATCAAACTTGTGATTAACAAATCGTACTCCCGCTACGCGGTCGTGCAATTTTGTAACACTCGTTTGACTTCCGACCAAATTGGACTTCACTTAGTTCAATAGCTCCTTGCAGTCCGTTAAAACGGAGCTCAATTTGGAGGACATGACAACAGGTTTCCAATTCTCATGACATTGAAATCCTTATGTTTTGTCCTCCAGATTGAGCTACTTTGACGTCACATGCAAGGGGT